GGTCACGGTTGACATGGCAGGGTCTGCCGCGTCACCCATCTTGGCGTGGCAGTGCCGTGCCACGGAGCATGGCGTGTCAGAGGCATATAAATATCGCGAGCGAGCCCCCCCCCCGTCCGCACACTGCGCCCGCCCGACCGCACGCCGCACCTCGCCCGCCCGCCGCCGCGCAGCGCCCCCACGCGCCCCGCCGCCAGCGCCGGTCGCGCCCGCCCGCCCACGTTCGCGCCACGAACGCCGGCGTGTCAAGGCCGCCCGCTCCTATCAAGGTACCCCCTCTCGATTTCATTTTATTTTGATTATTATTGATTTAGGATAGTTAGTGATTTAGGATAGTTATGGTTTTATGATTGTTATTGATTTATGATAGTTAGTGATTTAGTATATTTAGGTTAGTGAATTTGTTTGTGATTTAGGTAGGTAATTTTTAGGTTTGAGGTTGTGTGTTGTAGTATAGTTAGGATTTTGGGTTTATGGATTGATTGGGTATTTATTATTTAGTTTATAGTTAGTTATTTAGTTAGGGATTTTGGGTATAGATACTAGTTTTCAAATGTCGGTACTTATTAGTGCGTGATACGTCGATTTTGATGACTTGATGAAGTTTCGTCAAATGTTTATATTCCTGGTTAAGTTGTTTAATATGTCTGTTAATATTACTTTGAATATATACATGTGCATTTATATTGTGTTCGTATTTCATAACAAGTAGTTCAAATTTCGCAATGCTACATAATGTTAATTTGAATACTCTAACCATTTGTTTATCAATTTGAAACAGGATGGTCCCTCCCACGAAGCACCCGTTGTACCTCATTTTTGATGTGGAGTACGACGACCAGCACCAAGCACATATCTTGAGTGACAACGACGCAGAGGTGGCCTTGCCTCCTTTGAGGCTCCGCACGCGCACCAGTGGGACGAGCGTTACGCGTCGTACATACGGCGTGCCGGCTTTCTCGAGCTTGTTCGTGTTGTCAACTACGGTCTTCCGTCCCTTGACCCAGCACTACTTACTGCAGCTGTAGACAAGTGTGAGTGTTTTATTTGTACGTAAACATTTTTGTAACAAATTTGAGGCAACTAACAGTCGTTCTAAGCTTATAACAAGTGGAGGCCTGAGACCAACACGTTCCACCTACCTTGTGGCGAGATGACCTTGACCATGCAGGACGTGAAGGCTATTTTTGGCCTTCGGTTTGGGAAGCTTCCAGTGACAGGGATAGTTGACAACGATCACTAGAGGGAGCTGGTGGCTCAGTTTACTGGCTTTCTTCCACCAGACGACGAGGCTTCCAAGAAAAATAAGTGAGACATTCAAGGCTATTTAATACTTGCATTGCTTTTCCTGCAGCCATCGGATCTCATTTTCTTTGGTCAATTTTAGGAAAAGTTTCGGTGTTTCATCGTCTTGGATCACGGAGCGCTTTGATTACTTGAACCCACAGGCTGAGGAGGCTCAGATCGACAGGTTCGCTCGAGTGTGGCTCTGGCACTTTCTTGGTGCCTTCCTCTTCCAGACGCCTCGGGCAACACCATCAACTGGATCTTCCTTGATATACTACGCCAGCCGTGGGAGAACATAGCGGCATACAGCTGGGGCAGCGCAGTCCTGGCATGGATGTATCGACAGCTATGCGTTGTCTGTCGTCGTACCTCAGGGTATGCGAACCTTGAGGGTTGCTCGTACCTACTCGGGTTTGGTGTTGGGAACGATGGCCCATTGGGAGGCCCCTTAATACTGGTTTACCGGTAAGTACTTCGGTTCATTATATTCTTCGATATAGTTACATATGATGAGTTTATTAATGGCTAATTCATTATCGTGTTCAATGCAGCAATAGAATGGGCAGGATACACTCCCTACAGCTCTGTTTATCTAGACGGAATCAGAGTTAGTTAGAGGGAATGCGAGGCGCAATTACAGGGAGTACACGGACGGTCTCGACGTCCTAACACAACACCAGGTTATGCTCTCTTTACTATCATACATGTGTCTTGTTCGATGTACACTATATCACAGCCTAACTCAATTACGAAATGTTCAGGAGCATTGGTGTTCTTGGGATGCTCCGGAGCTCCAGTACTATCTCAGTCCTGTCACTAGGGACGAGTCAAAGGAGTATCGCTGCAACGTCCCTCTTATTTTCTTCCACGTGGTCGAGATTCACTTGCTTGTCAGGGTCTGCAGACAGTTTGGAAGAATGACAGGCTGCCCACCACCGCTTTACTCCACCAACCAAGGATTGCACGGGTGTGTTATCGATTAATAACAAAGCTACAATTCAGAGGTGTGTGTGGTACAACTAACATCGTTTGTTGCAGGTATGACCGCAGGAAGAGGTACAAGATCAAAGATTGGCGCGTGACACACAACGCGCACATCCACTTGTGGGAGACCAGGGAACGACAGCCGGTCCATGCGGGTCCTCCACACAACCAACACACTTTCGACGAGTACCTGCGCTGGCTTCATAGGTCTATGAGGACACATATCAAGCCCCCCGTACACTGAGGAGGCGATTGACGAGGACTCGGAGGAAGATGCGATCGAAGATGTGTACGACGTTGCCACTAGAGAGGACACACAGCTACAGAGAGTCTCGCTACAAAGATACATGGTAAGATACTAGAATAGTATAATTTGTTATCCATTTGGTATTAAGTATGTATACCAAAACTGTTCAACCGCGTTTCTATACCCAGGCGACACAATTGTCGAGGCTGTCCAACGATGCAGCGTTCCGGCTTCACGAGTCTAGAAGGCAGGGGTCAGGCGTTCTCGAGGCTTTTGTGGAGGTAAACATAAACTGGTCCGTTTCGAAAATGTTTCTTTAGTGTATATGCATTTGGGAAATGCACTAACTTTAACGTCTATTTATGCAGAAGGTGAAGAAGAGATGCAGAAGCTAGCTCAAAAGTTAAGCTGTATGGACACTCCTTAGGAGGAACCGCCACTCGGCGTGCGGACGGGTGGCACGTCTTCAGCCTCTTTGGGGACACCAGCCGACTCTTCTCAGCCGGTGACAGGTGCCACTTCCGCGGTGCGTACACCACATCATAGCGCTGGGAAGGACCCTACAACCGAGGACGACGATGACGACACCCGGGGCTTCCACAAACAGCACGACCAGTGGAACGATTGGCCGTAGGACGAGATCGGCATGTCTCAGTTAGGTGGTGCCTCGCTTGGTACCCAAGGAGCCTCACAGGTACTAACAAAGGTAGTTTCTTTAAATACGTAGGCTACATGAACTAACGATCATAAAGAATTCTAAATAATCGTGCATATCATATACTTGTAGGGTACGAGCAGTACGCACCAGCGACGCGACCACACCGACGTTGGCTACACTCCCAATGTGTTGCCAACAAATCCGAAGAGACAGAGACGTCCGAGGGATCCTTACACTCCTGGGTCTTAGTTCGTTAGGTCGAACTAATATTGGCGTCCGAAACTTGCAGGCTTAATTGGTTATGTTATGTCGAACTTATGTCAAACCAATGAAAATGTTATGTGGCAGCTTGTCAACTTGCGCACGAACTTTATTTATTTGCTTCATATTCGTTTCAATATTCGCATCACTGCGAGCATTGCATCATTGGTCTGCAGCCGATCAAAAAAGTAGCAACTGAATTGTTGTGAGAAAAACCGAAAAAAAACAAGCCGAACAAGCCAAACTTTAAGACAAGCGAACAGCGCCTAAGTAGCAACTAGTTCAGAAACCGACAGTCCCGGGGTATCTCGACGCCAGGGTCCATGGTCGCGTCGCTACCGATCCTACAATATGAGGCCAAAAAAATAAGTTTTTCCTTAAAAATATTCGTTTTAATCCAATCCAATTTTTCGTAGTCTAGTTAACATGGTGGTTAACCTAATTATGAAAAAAATCATTGGCTTATCAAATTCTCTATTCGACAATGGAAAAGATTAAACAAAAGACAGAAACAAATCCACTATTGATTTTACGTCAAGCAATACCTAGAGTAACTCCCACTATCGGCACGGAAAGTTCCGATTAAACCGTCCAAGTACCGCCGCGCCATGCTCCTTGGCGTGGCAGGCTCTACCACGTCACCGATCAACAATACCAGTCGTCGCCACGTCAGCTCCCTGCTGCGCCACCATGCATGACGCGGCACAGACATTTGACCACGCAATGGCAATAGACGCGACCAAAAGTGTTAGTTTAAAAAAAAATGTTAGATTTAAAATTAGTTTTCAAAAAGTGTTAAAATTAAAAAAAAAATCTTGGTTGTGGGCGTGGCAGACGGAGGCGCGCGCGCCGCATTTCTGGTTGTGCATGTCCTGCCGGACCGGAGCGGAGCTGCGTAAACACATGTCGAGCAGCTCTCGTTCCTGGGAGGCTGGGACTATCACAGTTTTTGGCCTCGAAAACGGGCTTTCCTGGATTTACCACCAGAATAGCTCAGGTATTTTTGAAGACGTAAACTGGTCCATCACGATGGATGGAACCAAAGCATCGAAATACGGGCTTTCCAGGATTTACCCTGGAAACAGAACATGCCAGGTATTTTTGAAGACGTAAACTGGTCCAGCACGAAGGATGCAACCAAGCAACCAAAGCATCTAGCAGGATGCATCAGTGGAAGCAGCTCTGCTGCTCTCCTGAACTCGGTTGATAAAAATTGTCAGGCATCAAACCAACAGAGATTAAAATCCAAGGTATTGATAATTACTCGACACCAGATCACAAAACATTCGATAAGGTGCAGCAAACAAGTGCAAAACTTCCGACAAGGTGCAAAAGACAGGTATGTAATCAACGGCCCCCAATAGTACTCAAACTTGCAAACAGTGCTTTGCCTTAACGGCCGGACACCGCAGAGCACGAATAAAACCTAACATCCAGTATGGAAACGACACAAGTCCAACCATAGTATATAAGGAAAAAGGAGCAATACTGTCATGTGCCAGATAACCTCTGGAAACACCACACTCAATTGCAAACTGAAGATAGTTTGTTATGGCCTTCAAATTAGGAGATAATGCCTTCGGTCAGTGATAATGCGGCAAGCTGACTGGTCGGGGTGTTTGGGTTTTGCTGATGGGCCACATTGCGGAGAACATCCATCGCCTCAGCAACCTTGGACTTGAGAGCATCAGGGGACTCGAGCAGGTGGAGGACCTCAGTCTGATCCATCTCCAAAAGCATTCCAGTGACCTTTGCTGCTTGGTTTGGTTCCAGTTGCTCAACCAGTGGGTATAGGTTTTCACCAAGTATCTAGATGAAAAAAAAATGTTCATGTTAAGAAAAAAAGAATTTACATTATAGGATTAAAGTATCAATGCAGTAGCTGTTAATGTTTTTAAACCTACAAAACAATCAGCAGAAGCAGAAAGGCTGCTGCGGTACTACACCACCATACAGATCCAAGTTAACTTGATTTTTTAAGGTCAAAAATTCAAAATGGATGATAAACCAATCAACTGAATACCAAGTGCTAGATACTATTGACTATGCAGTAGAAGTTGACACCAAACAGGGACATACCGTTCTTTGCTGCTCAGGATTAGCATTTGCAAGGGCAGAAGTCAGAGTCCCAATTTGGGCGGCCGGTGATAAGGCTGCATCTCTCACAGGGAAGCCTCCCATATCATATGCCTGAATCATACCTCCAGCAACCCCTGGCATCGCCGGAGCTTCAGGCATGTTGCGACCAGTTGGGTAACGATACATCCGTCCTCGCGGAAGAATCTGAGAATCATGACAATATACATCACTTCACTTTCACTTCCCCCCATGGAACAATAGCCAGAACTGTCCCCATCCACCAGACAGCACAACGGTGTAGATGTCAGGAGAAAAAGGAAGCATGGTGGAAAATGAGCACAATGGACTGGACCATAACCGGCCAACAATCTAAGTGAATCAAATTTCCTACCATGTTAACCATTTTCCACTGACAAAGTAGCATCCTAACCACCCAAAATCAGTATAACTGTGGAAATTTGATGGGAAAATACCTGCTGTTGAAATGGTGGCACAGGTTGCTGGCCCTGGGCTCCAGCTCCACGCCTCATACCTGGGCGTGGACCCTGTTGGCCCTGTTGGACAACCGGAACAAAATAATTTGGCATATGGGGACCACCAGGCCTCATGCCTGGAACAAGCTGTTGCTGGAAACCAAATCCTGGCTGGAAGAAAGTGCAAATATCATCAATATCCATTTAGTTCAGCAGATTAGCTAACATAATTAAAATGCTTCATGCAACATGAACAGACAGGACTACCATTACAAACTGGTTGCTGAATGAAGATATCCATTTAGTTCAGCAGATTTGCAAATTGTTTCTTGCATCCAAACTAGGATTAATATAAAACAGGCCATAAAAGAGCCAGCATAGCACCACAACAACAACCAGAACATAAGATAGAGTAAAGCACTGATTACTACTTGCTGCCAACAACATATTGTCCGCATACAAGGAAAAAATAATGAACATTTGACACATGTTGCATTGTTGTTAACCAACTGAAGGTGAGAGGACCATTATGTGCAACAAGCTTCATATGCCCGTTTAAACATACAGAATATGATCGAAATTGTTAATTGTTAACCCAGGCTGCAAATACCAGTGCTGATTGATCTTGACAAAAGTTACTGATTATCGTGTTAAATGACTTCTTTTAGGGGGATATTCTCGTTTTAAAGTCTGTAGAAAAGAAAAAAAACTTCACCACCAGGGGAAAGACCATCCCCACAGCATTGCATTTAAAAAAAAATGTAGATAGGGATTTAATCTGAGGGTAATGTTAAGATGAAAATAAAAGAAAAGAGTGTTCATGGTACCTGAGGGGGTATCATAGCTGGCGGCGCTTGTCCATAGAAGAGTTGCTGAGGAGCCATAGGAGGGTACATTGGAAGGCGCGGGGCTAGAGTGGGTGTCATTGGTACAGCAGGGCGCATCTGAGAAAACTGTGCCTGGGTAATATAGAATTTGTAAATGTCAGCAAAAAATAATGATGATAGTATGAAACTGCAACAATTTTGTAAATATTTTTAAATATTACGCAAGGAAAATAATTTTAAAAAACAAGTCGTTTATCAATGAGTTTAGTACGAAAGAAGACATCATTATTAGAACAATAGGAGGCCAAAACCCAAAGCCCTAAGCCAGGCACACTAGTATGCCCCTTTAGACCAAACAAAATGTATAGATTCTGAACTCTACTTCAAAAAGTTCCAGAAGACATTTTAAGGTTGAAAAGAACTTCTTTCTGGAGATATTACATTTTGAAGTTAAAATAGATGAAGAACACCTATTATCATGAAAATAGAGGTGATTCTTTATAAGGTCAATATTTCTTTGGTGCTTCAACATTGTTCGAGATGACAAAATGTCAATCACTTCATACCTCTTCTTTCAATGAGAAGCTGTAAATAATTTTATGTACCAAATCTATAGTAAGCACTCATGTCTATTTTCAAATTTGATATTAGCACAACAAATTCAGCTGTTAGGACACTTACCTGCAACATCGCTTTTCTATCTTCTTTACGCTGTGCAAATGCAACATACAATGGTTTTCCAGATATCATTTTGCCATTCATTTCAGTTAACTGTAAAGAAAAGAAAAACATGTCAACCACATGTGACATAAATAAAATAGATAATGCAAAATCCAGGATAAGTGAACTTACAGCCTGAGATGCTTCCTCACGAGTTGAGAAAGCAACAAATCCAGAGCCTTTGCTGAGACCATTTTGGTCACGCATCACCTATTTCACAAATATAGTTAGTCAGCACATACCATGAAAAGACAGGTAAAAGAGAAAAGGGAAATAATGATGATTGCAAAACGTAAAAGTTGATCAAATCACCTTGTACGAAGTAATTTTGCCAAAGTTGGAGAACAACTCACGAAGTTGATCATCTCCAATGCTATCATCCAAGTTCTTGAGGTACAAGTTCAGTCCTTGATATTTGTCAGCAGCATCTTTCAAGCTTTGCTCAAACGTCCTTTTTAGTTCCATCTCTCTTTCTGACTTCTTCTGAGCTCTTCCAACATACCACTCATTGTCATTTATCTTCTTACCATTAAGTTCCTGAACAGCACGGGAAGCTGCATCTGGATTCTCAAAATTGATGAAACCAAAGCACCTTGATTTACCATCCATGCCAATCATTACAACAGCACTTGTAATACTCCCATATTCACCAAAGATTTTGAGTAAATCTTCCTTTGTGGTAGACTCAGACAAATTTTTCACAAAGACATTGTTAAATTTTGTCTTGTCAAAAGAATGATCTCTTTCTTGCTTGCGAAGAAAAGGTCCAACAAAAACAGGCTTATCATTTATAAGCATCCCGTTTAGACTTTTTATAGCATTCTGTGCAGCTTCTTCTTTTTCATACTGAACAAAACCAAAGCCTTTGGATTGGCCTGCTTCATCCATGGCTACCTTACATGAGAGAATGGTACCAAATGAAGAAAAGGTCTCATGAAGGGTTTTATTGTCTATTGTCTTGTCAAGATTCTGGAGAAAAAACAAAATAATAAGTCATTAACCAAGCTGATTATTCTTGGATGACAATGTTAACTACAGAAACTGCCAGATAATCAAGTACCTTTATGAAAATGTTAGCAGATCCACTCCTACGGCTGCTTGGGTCACGGTTTGAATACATCACCCTGATAGGCTTGTTGTTAAGAAGAGCGAAGTTCAGCACTTCCAATGCTCTTGCAGCTGTTAAAATGGAATAGTTAATCAGCCATGGCAAGCCTTTTTGACACTAAGATAAGAAGTACTAATAGGCAAATTACAATAGTAAATGACACAAACAAGCTTTATGGTGTATGATACAGTGAGGTAAGACACCGGAACTAAACAGTAACTCCTCTGTAAACCATATATTTAGCGAAGTTAACCCATTGTCTTCCTTTAGGCCCATTTTCCACTATGCTGCACCTTATACTCTTTTAAGTGCTTTGGATAGCATTGTTGAATTTGAACTAAACCCTCAGAATTTCAAGAGTGTTCCTCATCTTATCTAAGGTTAGGGACGTAGTCAGGTTAACTTTAGGGCGTGTTCATTTCCTGAATAGTTTTGCCTGTCCTCAACCACATGAGCGAGCCTCGCCTTGCCAACCCAGGAAAGACAAAATCACTATCCCACGGTGGCAAGCAAAAAGTTCACCAGCACAGAACCCAAGGACAGCTTGCCTGGAACCAACGCGCACTTCCACAGGATTTCTAGCCGGGCAAGGCGAGGCCAAAGCTCAACCAAGAACCAAAATGCCCCTACGTATTTGATTAGGGCTGTTACATTCCTATTATGTCAATGTAATCTAACATCAGTTAAGAAAACACCTGAAGGCCAGCTGTATAGAACAATAAATTACATCAGATTAGAAACAACAACAAAGCCTTTAAGTCCCAAACAAGTTGGTGTAGGCTAGAGTTGAAACCCAGCAGAAGCCATCAAGGTTCAGGCATGTGAATAGTAGCTGTTTTCCAAGCACTCCTATCTAAGGCTAAGTCTTTGGGTATATTCCATCCTTTCAAGTCTCCTTTTATTGCCTCTACCCAAGTCAACTTCGGTCTTCCTCTGCCTCTCTTCACGTTACTATCCTGGCTTAGGATTTCACTACGCACCGGTGCCTCTGGAGGTCTCCGTTGGACATGTACAAACCATCTCAACCGGTGTTGGACAAGCTTTTCTATCACGTATATCATCGTTCCGAACTCGATCCCTTCTTGTATGACCGCAAATCCAACGCAACATACGCATTTCCGCGACACTTATCTGTTGAACTTCGGTCTTCCTCTGCCTCTCTTCACGTTACATCAGATTAGAAAGGTATAATTTTTTTCCAGCATACAGCATACCCAGGTCCATAATTACCTTATAAACACAGCAAACAAAACTTGGAAGAAAATTTTAAGCAAGGCTGTCTTAAACCCCATAGTCTATAGAGTATACCATCACAAGGCTCTAGGATATAAAAAAGGGCCAGCCGCCCATATCCTCTCCTTGTATCAAAACAAAGGAATCTAGGTGACAAAATCATTCTTAAGGATATACCCAAAATAATAAATCCCAGGGACATTGCACCAGGCAAGACATCCACTTCTGATAGAATGAACCATTCCACATTACCAAAATTAACAAACACAATCAATCCACCACCTACCAAGTACCAACTGAGGGAATCACTTGTAACATGCAGTTTACAGATGCCATCAGAATTATCGTGTCAGATGAAACCCAAACCTAGCCCAATCTGATCAGGCCCCAATCCAACGACGCCCACATGTCGACGAATCCTCCCACCCTGAATCGACAAGATAGAAAGGAAACCCCAGGAGGAGATCGCAACCATACCATCCAAGGGGTTGCTGAAGTTGACGTAGGCGTATCCGAGCGAGCGGCGCGAGGTGACGTCCCTGCAGACGCGCACCGACACCACCTGCCCGGCCTGGCTGAAGAGCTCGTACAGCTGCGAGTCCGAGACGGAGCCCTCCAGGTCGCCCACGTAGAGCGACGTGGTCGGGAGTGGCTGCGCCACGCCGACGCCGACGCCGACCGCTCCCGGCGACACCACCGCGGGGACAGCGCCCGGGCTCCCATTCGGCACCACCGCCGCCGCCACTTGCGCCGCCATCGCCTCGACCAGAATTTTTTTTCAGATTTTTTTTCGAAACTAAACCCTAGCAATCGGATTGGTAAGTCGCTCGATACTGATAGATCTCGCGGATTTGGGGATTTCTAATTTTTTTGGTAGTTTTTTGGTTGCGGGATACAGAGGCCGCAGACGGAGAGCACGCGGGGGGGACGACTCTCTCAACGAGAGGGCGAGGCGACGGGGGTGGGGAGGTGGTTATAGGAGGAGAGAGAGGAGACGGAGCGGCGCCCGCGCGGCCGCGCCTAGGGTTTGCTCGCGCCAGTCACAGTGGTCTCGGCGCTCGTGCACCAGCTGGCGCCAGCACTGGCGTATGATCTGGTTGGTTGGTCCGTTGGGGCTTGGTGTGGCTTGGTGCTCCAGGACCAGGTCCGCCCGGTGCACCGGCTACGCGCGGGGACTCCGATGTGGCGGTGCCGTGCTGCGCTCTGTGCCTGTCTGCGCTCGTAGCGCGCGTGGTACCTGCTTTGCTTGGCCTTTCCGCGTTCGGGGCCTCTGGGCGGTTGGATTCGAGTTGGCACGAATTTGCTTGGGGAACGAGCCGTGCCTACTGGACCGAGGACTCTACACTGGTCTTGCGTCGGATTGAATCTTGGGCCTGAGTTGCAAATTTTTGATTTGAAGGTCACGGGCTGATGGAGGAATGCACGAAATCAAAACTAATTGCACAGTTTGGTTGTCTTGTTGACGGGAAATTTTGAGCTTAATTAGTCAACGATTGGACAATTATTACCAAGTAAAAATAAAATGACACTGTAGCTACTTATGTTTTATTTGGCCAACTAAACGTGGCCTTGACTAAAATTTTATTTGGGCCGGGCTGACCGGACGGCACCAGACCACCTCTATGTTCCGTACGGGAAACTTTGGGCGTGATTGGTTGTCCTAACCGAACCGTCATTTGGTCCATCCCGTATCCTTTGTTGCGTTTGTCTGTATTTGGTTGCCCTACTCGTATCTTTCTCTAGCTTCCTCCCGTGCAGATTCGCTCGTCCATTCCGGACGGCGCCGTCTTCTCGATCCCCACTTCCCTCTCGGTGCAGGCTCGCTCAGTGCTTGGCGGGAACCTTCGCGCCGAGCGCGGGAGATGAGGCCGTCCGGGCCATAAAGCGCGCGCGCGGGTCTCGGCTAGGGTTACCGCCCTCACTCTTCGCATCTCTTTCCGCCATAGCTCTGGTGCGAACTCCTGTTTTGCTCCCCCTCGACCTCGGTAGCCTTACCGAGGCGACCCTCGACGATGGATTTCTCTTGGTCCTCCGGTGCTTGGACGGTATATATGCCACCTGCGTTCTTTTCCTCCTCTTTCTTTAGTGTCGATTTTGTTGATTTGTTGATGGATTTTGCTTGAAATGCCAAGAAATCGGGGTTCTTGGTTTGACATCCTCAGATCTATACGATGTTATACCTGATTTACCTGTTCCTAGCTCAGATCTGTACATGATGCTTCGTATTTGGTTTATACCTCATGTTTTGTATAGATCTTATACATGTTGATGTCTATTTTGTTGTATAAACTGAGCAAAGTGCTTAGATGGCAATGATGTTGATTGTGTAACAGTATACGCTGGAGGAGCACCCTTTGGTGTGGCAGCCGCGTCTTTCTTTGTCTGATTTTTTGCTTGCTAAGCAGTACACACCCATGTTGCATGCTCCCTTTCTAATGTTGCCCTCCATCCTATTGGTAGACATGGCATTTGAAGCTAGGCGAAGGGTTGCCGCTGTTGTGGTTGTTGTAGTGGTTGCTTAGTTTTTCATGTGGTTTAGGAGGAGAGTTGAAGATTCTCGCTCAGTCACCTATGGTCCCTTGGCTGAGAGGGGCAAATAGAGGATGAACAACCTTAGATACATCTATGACTTTGATAATGTGCACTGTGTCAACCTTCTTAGAATGAGGAGGGCTCATTTTTCCAACTTTTTGACATTTTCCATATTAGAGAGCTTGTCACTGAGAGCATACATGCATCTATTGAAGAACAAGTAGCCATGTTCTTGCATGTTGTTGGTCACAATGAGAGGTTTAGGGTGGTTGACCTTACCTTCAGGAGGTCCATAGAGACAATTAGTAGGTTCTTCCAGAAGGTGTTATATGCGGTAGGAGAGCTGAGGAATGAATTGATTATCCCTCCTGCTACTAATATCCATCCTAGGATCCTTGGGAACAGAAGGTAGTGCCCCTATTTCAAGGTTGGTACCCATAACTTATCATACATAGGTCTTATGCATTATCAGTTTAGTGTCAATGTTCACTTGCACTTATGTTTTTTCAAATAGGACTGCATAGGAGCAATTGATGGTACTCATGTATTAGCTAGAGTGCCTGTGAAGATGCAAGTTGCCTTTAGAGGCGGCACACCATCACACAAATCTGCGAATCACACAAAATGTGAATTGTTGTGAGAGAAAATGGACTTTTGAATAAGCCGAACAATTCAACCTAAGTGCTTGTTGGTATGGGACTGTGGGACCTCAGATTCGTCTATGTGCTTTTTTGGTTGGGAGGGATGCACATTATGCTCTTATCTTGTCGATGCTCTTGAAAGAGATGATGGCCTTAGAGTGCCACCAGGTATCATCCAAACCAAAAAAAACCTTTGACACTTTGCTTAATCCTAAATGAAACTACCAAAACATATTCCTATCTACTAATTTTTAGGCAAATTCTATCTTGTCGATGCTGGCTATGCAGTGAGGCCTGGTTTCTTGCCACCATTTTGTGCCACAAGATACCATTTGAGGGAGTTTGGTTCAAACCGACCTCAAAATCAAAGAGAGCTTTTTAATTTAAGACATTCGTCTCTTAGAGTAACAGTTGAGAGGGCTTTCGGGGCTCTAAAGAATAGATTCATGATATTGGACAACAAACCTTTCCACCCATACAAGACCCAAGTTAAGCTTGTTCTTGCCTGTTGTATTCTTCACAATTGGATCCTCAGGCATGGACAGGACGAGCATGTGCCTGCTGAATCCACATAGACACCTAACATCAATGACAATGCCTCACACAGCCCGAGATCATGTCCCCACGACAATGGTACTGGGCTGTGAGAGGGAGGCATGTGCTGCATAGATGTGGCAAAACAGGGGGAATTCTAGGGTGTAGTGGCATGGTGTGTGTACTGTTTAGTAGCATTAAAGAAACTTGTATTCTAACTAAGACCTATAGCACTTTGCAATGATGTAGTACATATTCCTTTTCTGCCTATTTGATTTGTTGAACTTGTATTTCATATCATGCAATTTGTTTTCCTTACGTACTGGTTGTTCAATGTTATGGTGGTTGTGGATAGGAAATGGACAATATGCCTGACTATGTTGTTAACATTGATGGTGAGGACAATATGGTGGAATATGGTGGGGTAGTTGCTGCTGATGATGGCAACCAAGCAGCCCCTTAGCCCAATGGCCCTATGCACTGGAGTCCTGTCTAGTCTGAGTTCATGGTTAGGAGGTTCCATGATTTGGTGGGGTAGGGGGTCAAAACTGAGAAAGGGTTCAAGGAGGTACATGTTAGGTAGGTTGCACTCATGGTCTTTGACTTTGCTAGGGTCAATGTGACCACCCAGCAGATTTACAATCACCTGAGAAAGTGGAGGAAAAGGTGGATTAAGGTTGTTAGGCTCAAGGATTTGAGTGGTGCTCTATGGGATGAGGACCACCACATGATAGTACTTGATGATGAACACCTGCTTGGCCACACCAAGGTTAGAAACTGTTTGGATAACACCTCAGCTATCTCTTTTCTTTTCTTTTGCTCCCCTATGTCTAATAGTTACATCTGTTTCACTAACTAGGACCATCCTGCTGATGCTAAGTTCTTGAACACACCAATAGAGAACTATATTCATATGGAGGCCATTTTTGGTGGTAACCAGGCAACATGCAGGTATGCAATTGGCTCAAATGAGCCTCTGGGTACTCCAACTGACATTGGCCAAGGAGATATTGATACCGTTGAGGACAACACTGACTTAGGTGGCACAGAGACTGATTCTAGAAAGGGAACTCCTTCTGGTATGGAAGGCTCTAAAGGTTCTAATGCCAAGAGCCAGGATGAAAGGGGTGGCAAGAGAAGAAAGCTTGCCCAAGAGAAAATAGACCTCATGAATGGAATGATCAAGGCTGTGGAGTCTATAGGAGATGCCCTAAAGACTCCACAGCACAATGAGGTGCATCAGGATCTTTATGATTGTGTTATGGACTGCCCTAGGTACTCACAGGAGGCACTCATGTTTGCCCTGGTTTACCTACTAAAGAACAAGGCTGAGGGACTTTACTTTGTTCAGATGACAGAGGCTCATAGGATCCTGTGGCTTAGGACCTACCTGAGCACAACCTACTTTGCTTAGATGCATACTAGCTAGCCTCTCCACTTTTGCATATAGCCATGCTAACTGTCTTATGCTGTAGGAAGTATTTTGATGTGTAGCACTTACCTCAACTGATGCTACAAAGAACCATTTGCCACCTAACCAAGGCTGCACCTAGTCTGGAATAGCATAGGAGCCATGGTGATGGATGTGAGACTTTGTTGATCTATGTGGTGTAGACATTAACAAAGGGTGATGGATTGTCACTTAGTTGATATGAGCCCTAAAATATCTTGGATTGTCAGTTCATCTTAGACATTTCAGATGCTGTTATTGTTCTTGTAGGAGTTCCTATTTGGCCGATGATGCAAACTATAGCAATCTGAGGTAGTTGTGGGTATTCTTCATGTTGTTGCTTTATTGCCTTCTTGTGTTCTCTCATGTCTTTCATCAAACCGTGGGATACGTCCATTCCTAAGCAACTATTGTAGGCATGCCTACCGGATGGCTGGGATGGACGTGTCCCACGGTTCCATGGGAGTCATGAACTTGCCTTAGCAATTTGTGTTCTTATTTACCACCTGGGATGATTGCAGTTTACATTAGCTGAGGCCTACGTTTTTTTGTGCTTCTAATGTCAACCATTTTTTGACTAAGGCTGATATAATTGTGAGA